AACAGAGGAACAGGCAGTAGCTCAGATGTATGCTTTTAACACTTTGTATCCAAAGGTGCACATCACATGGTTGCTGTAAACTCCATAGGGAAGTTATCTACATAGACATGGTTTCCACCTTATTATGGTCTTAGAGACAGTCTGGGGCTAGCCAAGTACCCTTCCTCACCATACACAAGCTCTATTCTGCGCCAGGTACACATGGGTGCCCCAGGTCTATTGCAGAGAAGGCGAGTGGCTAAGTCTAGGTTCACAGAAAGGACCCTGTGTGTGGAGTTTACACTGCAGGCTCAGTTCCAGGCCTGCTGATACTTTGGACCTCTGGACCTGTCACTTCCCCTCTGCTGCCCTCAGAGAATAGGAGGTAGCCTGCTCCCACAGAAGGAGCTTCGTAACAGATATTGAACACTTGGCCAACTATTCCTGCTGGATCCACAGTCTCCTCATCCTTACATCTCACGAGGGGGCAGGGCATGAAATGGAGGGTAGTTCAGGGTAGGTGTTCAACAGACAAGGAAAGCTACGTTCACTATGAGACTTGTGGCCTCAACTTTTTTTTTATCACCCAAAAACAACTATTGCAATAAAGCATGACAGGAACACAATATACCAAAATAATAATAATAATAATAATAATAATAATAACAGTGGAAACCAAACTAGTTATTCTTACAGAGCACTGCACGTGGGTCCAAGACTAAAAGGTCCCAGTGTCGCTGTCTCACTTCTGGCTCCGCTTTATTAAGCTTCAGTTCTTTCAAGCTTGAGATAAGGCCAACAACTGACTTCCCAGGAATGTCTTTAAAAGGCCAATATTTTGTAATCTACACCAATATATTTAAAGACAAGGTATTTTAATTATTATCATGCAAGATGGTCACTGACATAGGGAAACCTAGATGAGCTCTGAAATCAAAGTACATGGGATTTATTCACCATCCCACAAGAACCACAGCAATGAGCTGTTTCTAGCACCACTCAAAACAAAATGAGATGCTGGCAAAACAGACACTCGTTGGAATCAAGTACCATGACTTACCCTATGGCAAAAAGAAGTAGGATTAAGGCCGGGTGCAATGGCTCACACCTGTAATCCCAACACTTTGGGAGACTGAGGCAGGTGGATCACCTGAGGTCAGGAGTTCGAGACCAGCCTGGCCCACATGGCAAAACCCCAAATCCTCTAAAAATACAAAAATTAGCCGGGTGTGGCAGTGGGCCTCTGTAATCCCAGCTACTTGGGAGGCTGAGGCAGGAGAATCACTTGAATCTGGAAGGAGAAGGTGGCAGTGAGCAGAGATCGCACCACTGCACTCCAGCCTGGGTGACAGCAAGACTCTATCTCAAAAACAAACAAACTAACAACAGCAGCAACAACAAAAACAAAGAAAATAGAACTAGAACATATAGCAACCTAGAAATGTGGACTAAAGATGAGTGTGCATTTTCCATACTTGTAAGAAATTTAACTGTACTTCCACTAAAACCCTGAGAAAATGAGGCAGCTCAGACAATACACTTCGATAAAGATTTGTGCTCCTTGTCCACGGTGATGTTTTCAGGGCAGCACAGCCTGCAAGTGGTCCTGGCCCCTGCTTTTCTGTACCCTAACCCTCTCTGGGCTTTTCATGGTACAGACTCGGAGGCTAGGAGAGCTGATCAGGTTTCCTTTTGCAGTTTGGCTGCATGGAAGTTCAGAGCCAAATCTGTGTTCAATTTCTTGCAGTGTTGTTATAGTCTAATCCCTTTTTCTATTGTATGATCTTATTATTGTTCGTTTCTCCTTTATCCCAATTTGAATGACTGCTATCTTACTGAAAATCGTCTTTTTTTGTTGTTGTTGTTGTTGTTTTTGCTCAAAGACTGAGTATAAATTCATGAAACCTGCCCTGTGTTTGTTTTCATAATCTTGTCTCGCTCTGACCATTTCTGCCCTCACTGTATGTGCAAAGGTTGTCTGAACCAACACAAAGCCTTTCTGTAGTTTCCCTTGTGGAAGTGGAGCCGATGGAACCAGTGGTGAAACCCAGACATTCTTCTTTTAGAATACACAGTTTTCAGTCCCATTGAGCTGTAAACAGCCCAGGATGATGGTCGCAGCGTAGGCTGCCCAGGCTCACCCTGGTTCATCCCAGGACAAACAAGTTCAGCTCCAGCAGAGGCTTCCTCCTCTTCAAAATAAATGTTTCATTGGTCAAGATGAGCTGCCTCCCCTTGGATCTCTGCCTATAAGAGAGGACCTCAAAGTGCCCCGACTCCACCTGCCTTACCAGCTGCATGATCTGAGCTGGTCACTTAACTGCCATCTGCCTCAGTCTCCTCCTCTACAAAATGGGAAAGAAAAACAGATCTGTCTATAAGATTGCTAGACAATTAAATGAGTCAAAGGCACAGAGAAAAGGCTAGGTAAGGGGCTTATTATTTTTATTAACATTAGTCATGGGAGTTGCATGACTAATGTCAATGGGAGTTGTTTCAGAAACACTGAAATCAGCATACTGGATTTGGCCACTATCTGAGCTATAAACATCATTTATTGTTTATTTTGTATCTATTATGTACTAGATACTGTAACAGGCATTAGGGAGCAAAGACAGATACAATTCCTGTCTACATGGAGCTCACCTTCTGGTTAGCCCTTTATTCACTTACATAAATATAGTTCCTGTGAGTTGGGCGCAGTGGCTCACACCTGTAATCCTAGTACTTTGGGAGGTTGAGGTGGGCGGATTACCTGAGGTCAGAAGTTCAAGACCAGCCTGGCCAACACGATGAAAACTCCATCTCCACTAAAAATACAAAACTTAGCCAGGCATGGTGGCACATGCCTGTAATCCCAGCTACCCAGGAGTCTGAGGCAGGACAATCACTGGAACCTGGGAGGCAGAGGTTGCAGTGAGCTGACATCATGCCACTGTACTACAGTCTGAGCAACAAAGCCAGACTCCATCTCAAAAAAATAAATAAAAATTAAAGATAAATAAATATAGTTCCTGTTTCTATTCTTATTCCAGTCATACAACATGCTATTCCTAAACACAGAACTATCCGAGGATGAGCTGTGAGGCTGTGTGTGCATGTGGAGCAGCTAACTCCTACAGCACCTAGGCTGTTCTCTGGGAGGTCACTTAGCTTCCCCCAACCCAAGAGTTCAAGAGGGAAAAATCCCTCACCCTGTGGGGCAAGGCTGGCATTACTATCAGCTTCCACCCTGGGACTTGTTCATGAGCTCTGCCTGGGGCAACTTAGAGGAGGCACAATGGGGGCTCTGCACACTCCTGTGTAATGCAGGGATTTGTACCCACCTGGCAAGACCAGAGGGACAGGCCACCATACCTCAGTGGGGCCTTGGATGTCCACAAGAGTAAGAGCTGGCCACCATTCCCCTCTTCTCTCGGCCTCCAGCCACTGACTCTCCCCTGTGGCCTCTTGGGAGGACCTCTGTGCCCAATTTTGGACGGCTGTACTTGCTATATTCATGTGTTTACACCTCAATCTCCTGGGAACAATTCGGCTCTCTCAAAGAAATGCCAAGGAAAGAGCTTCCCCTTCTCCACTCCCTACCTCTCCTCTACAAGGAAGGAAGAGAAGTATCTCCTCTGCAGGTAAGAACCCGTCGTGCACTGGGTCACTGCTACCCAGAAGTGCTGCAAATGCCAAAGCCAGGGTCTTGCCCTCCATCTCGCTCTGCAGGACAGTCCTGGCTCAGGTACCCTGGGGAGCCAGGTATTTTTAATTTAAGGAGGGATCAGGAGGGAAGGAAGCAGAGCATCCCATTTGATCTCATCCTCTAGGTTTACTATGGAGCCACATTTCCTGCAAGTTACCGAGGCCCTCCATAATAATGTTGTCAACCTACTGGGCCCTAGATATCTCTTCCCAACTGGTGGGAACCCAGAGGGCAGGGCCTGAGTGGAGAGGCTGCCCTAGTCTCTGTATCCACACCTGAGAGCGCTCCATGCCATAGTAAGCTCAGGAAAAGCAGCAATGAACACAGCTGATATGATTTTTTTTCCATGTAGCTCACAGCCACTTAGAATAGGACCAGGACAGCTAAGCTCCCATCTGCAGCCAGAGTGGGGAGACCAGAAAAACTAGAGAGAACATTTATGTAAGAATCCCTCTTGAGTTCTCCCTCATGGAGGCAAGAGATGCCAGGACTATTGTTTGAACACTTCAACTAGAAATAACCGTCATTAAAAGTCAAGTGGTACGTGAGCAAAGGAGAAATAATTAACCACCCATACAGGTGTAAACTTAGCAGCAGGCCATGCAGCTCAGTAAAAATTCGAGCCAAGTTGTTGCTCCCAGGGCTGTTTTGCTAACCCCTTATATCCCTAAGTAACCTGTAGGGCCACCACAGTCCCCAATATAGCAGCAGTAAGATATATATGTAGTGTCAGGAATACATTTGCCGTTAGAAGTCCATCTCCCCTGCTGGCCTCAGAAAGCAGTAACTGCATCGTTAGAGTCACCTTTGTATTTCAAGGCCTTGCACAGTGCCCAGCATACAGTAGGTGGTCAATAAATATTTGTGGAATTAATACATACTCCATGAAAAGATTTAACCAGATTTCCCCCTAAATTAGCCATTAGGAATTATCCACACTAATATCACAACTAAAGGATGAACAGAGAGCCAACATCCAGCAGACCAAGTTATGTCTACTCAAGAACAGCCTGCTCCAGACACCACAGATGCTGAACCTCATGGCTGACAAGATGAAGTTCTCCAAATGAGAATTCATATGAACAACTCAAAAAAAGAACCAAGCCACCTCAGTCGGAAATAACTGGAAGCTCCCTAAGGGCAAACACCATGTATACTGCTCACAATCAAGTGCCTGCCACAGAGAAGGGCTCAATACTTATTTATATTTAACTCATGAATGGGGTGGGGAGAAGTCAGCATTTCTAGCCTCCACTAAGAACCAGAGTGCCCTCAACATGGAATACAAGAATGATGAGAAAAGATCCTTGATATTATTTTCCATTTTCAGGTGAAGAAACTAAAACCTCGAGATCAAGAGACCTTCCCAAAGGTCACACACACTGCTAAAAAACCGCAGCCAGACCCTCTCATACTGCCACAGTGTAGAGAAGGTATGCACACGGTTGATTAGAGCCCTCCCAGGATCCCTCCAAGTTACCCCCCGCCCCCGTTGCCAGGTAGTTCTTGGCACTGGCACCTGAAATTCCATCATTAAATATATTGTTGGTCATAAAAATTTGTCCCCAGTTAAACTTTGCTATAAAAGTGGATATGTGCATTTGCTACCTATCACTGTCATAGAAATGGTAAGTTTCAGAACCCTCCAGGCAACTTAGCTGAGCTCTGCCCTTCATTACAGAGGATGCCTAATTAAGAGGAAATTCTGCTGAGGAAGGGGTAGTGTGCTACAGAACACAGCAGAACTCTGGCAGTGAGCAGGCGAGTACAAAAAAAGGACTTGCTGAGAGAGAGGGGGGCCAACGCCTACGCTCTCACAGTTTTATGATTTTGCCTAGAGCTGATCTTTAATGCACACAGAACATTTTGAAATGTATGGACAGTCAGGTTCAAGCTGCTTAGCCCGAAGGACCAAGGCCCCCACCCACCATCCAGCCTTATCTACCCTGCTTCCCATCTCCTATGCACACCATAAGAATCCTCCATACTAATGAAATGGATGATTTTTCAATCCCTGCAAAACTGCTTCAATTATTTCAGACTGTGTATCTGAAACGTTACCACCCTCTGCTCCAGGTCCTCTGTTACCCCTCAAGCCCAGCATCCAGCTTTGCTTCTATAAACTAGCCTTTTGGCTGGGTGCAGTGGCTCACGCCTATAATCCCAGCATTTTGGGAGGCCGAGGCAGGCAGATCACAAGGTCAGCAGTTCAAGACCAGTCTAACCAACATGGTGAAACTAAAATACAAAAATAAGCTGGACAGAGTGGCACGCGCCTGTAATCCCGGCTACCCAGGAGGCTGAGACAGAAGAATTGCTTAAACCCAGGAAGCGGAGGTTGCAGTGGGCCAAGATTGTGCCACTACACTCCAGCCTAGGTGACACAGCGAGACTCCGTCTCAAAAATAAATAAATAAATAAATAAATAAGCCTTTTTTAAAAAAAAAAAAAAAAAAAAAAAAAAGAGTCTTGCTCTGTTGCCCCTGCCAGAGTTCACTGGCGCCATCTTGGCTTCCTGCAACCTCCACCTCCTGGGTTCAAGTGATTCTCCTGCCTCGGCCTCCTGAGTAGCTGGGATTACAGGCACGTGCCACCACACCCGGCTGATTTTTTTTGTATTTTTAGTAGAGACAGGGTTTCATGACGTTGGCCAGGCTGGTCTCGAATGGCTGACCTCATGATCCACCCACCTCAGCCTCCCAAAGTGCTAGGATTATAGGCCTGAGCCACCGCACCCGGCCTAAACTAGTCTTTAAACCCTGCCCCAACAAGCAAGGATCCATCTCCTCCCCTCAACTCTCAGAGCACTCAGCTGTGACCTTGCTCCAACACCAGCCCTCCTGGCCTGCGTCACCACTGAAACAAACAGGAGATGCTATCACCTGATGACCACTCAGCACTGAAGCGCTCCATGGCACTTCCATGTATGTCTTGTCACTGATTATGATCAACAGGCCAGCAAGTTAAAAAGATTTTGGATTTTTCTGCACCCCCTTTCATAGATAAAAACAGAGGTTCTGGGAAGGTATGTGAATTCCTGGCCTGTGTGTGGAAGTTACTGTCATTTTTTGTCGAACCATAAGAAGGCTGTGTCAGCTCTCCAGCAATCTCACTATTCCCCTGTGGTTGCCAAGACAGCTGAATAAATCATTGAGACATCTCAGTCCTTCTGGAGTCTACCTTTCAGATCTGCTATTTTCCTCCTCTTGTTAAAAGCTTCAGAAAGAAGGCGGCTCTAAACTGAACTCTGACTTTGAATTCTTTTATACATTAACTTATTCAAATGATTGAAAATAGGCTGTTTACAAAAGTAGATACAATAAAAATATAAAAGGTCAGGTCCGGGAAAAAAATAGAAGAAAAATAAAAGTGAAGGTCAAGACCAGGTGAACTATGAATTATTTACCATTTGTCTAGATAACAGGGAATAACTCATCCCATTACTTGTTTTTGCTGACCCTTGGTGGTTAGCCTATAAAATCTCAGGAAGGCATATTCTGCAGGCTCCTGCTGAGGCCGAGCTACACGAGCTTTGTCATTAAGGCACTCACCACTGTGATGAGCACAGGTATACTTGGTTTTCGCTTGGGGGTGGAGGGAACTGTGATCTACAGTAATGGGGAGGGAATTCAGTGTTTTCTTCCAGACTGAACCTGGAAGAATGACTGAGGAGAACTGCGCACGATTTTCTTCTCAAGTGACTCTCTTTATGCTGTGCTTAATTTGATACTGAGACAGTGTGGCCCCCACTAAAGAACATCTACTAAAAGCAGCACGGATTTGGGCTGCCAAGGCAAATCTACATTATCATGTTTGCTTTCACCTAAAAAAATGGAAGAATCTTGCGCTTCCTCTTTCCATTTCCTTCCCCTGCAAGGACCAGTGAAGAAAAGGCTGAAAACCCACACCATGCATGACTCAAAAAGGCAACAAGCACATTTTTTGACTTGGGCAAATTTTTCTTGATTTTGAAGAAAAAAATGAAAGAAAATTAAAACATATTTTTGCCACTTATCTATGTTAATCCATTAACCACAAATCAGAAGGACCTAAAAATCTGGCATATATTTGGAGAACTGAAACAAATCAAGAAACCTGCCTAAACTTTCCATTTATGTAGACTCAAGTCCATCAGCATATCATCACATTACCAATCCAGCAGTCACAGACTGAACAGGATTTTCCAAAGGGTCCTCATTTCCTACCACCACTCATGCCAAGATCACCCCCATTTTATACCTAAAAATGTGCAATGTTTCAGTTAACTTATATACATATTTAAAAAAAATTTTTTTAAGTACATAATAGCAGCTAACATATGTAAGTGATTATGTGCCTGGCACTGAGGCTAAGCCCTTTTTATATTAAGATACTGAATCTTCAACATAACCCCATGCTAAGGGGTTTAGACTTCACCCTAGCAGGACAACCCAAACAGAACAGTTAAGTGAACTTGACCAAAGCCATGGATTTGGGGGTTCTGCCTTCTAATGTGTGCTGTTTAAAACGCAAGGGAACATGGAGAAATCAATACAGTGCTTGTGCCAGGAATACAGTAAAATGGGAAAAAATGGGTTTTTATTGATAATGTTTTTATTAATAATTGAACTTTCACTTGTTGCATTATTGTATGTCATACACTGAACTAAGCACTTACCTAATGATTCTGGAAAATCATTAGGTGAGGGAGATCCTATTAACCCTAGATAAATTAGGCTTAATACAGATTATGTCTCGTAAGTAACAGGCAAACACAAGAGCAAAGGAAGGTTTAACCCAGGTCTATCTGAATCTAGACTTCCATGTCTGGCCCCACCCCACTCAAAGATAAATACCGCTAACATCTGGCCACATTTCCTGCTAATGTATATGCATTATTTTATGTAGTTGAGATTATACACTCTATATAATTCTATAACCTAAGTTCTCCCTATTCTAATTACATATTTTCCCACTGTACTGCAAACTCTTTACATTGTTTTTAATAAATAAATAATGTAAATAAGGCCCCACAATTTAATAGCTGTATCTTTTTTTGCATATATCAACTATTTGCAAGTTTTTCCTATTATAAATAAGGATGCAATAAGGATTTTTCTATTTGAAACCTCTTCTGTTTTTTATTTCAGATTACTTTATTAAGCTGAATTTCTTCCTTCTGTTAAAGCAATCATCATTGTCATCAGTATTTTTACAGAGCAATCTAGAAGATACCAAAACAGCAAGAAATAATGAAATCTGAATGTATAGGTATCAGCTGTTTGATTTATGGGTTAACTGAATGAATATGCATTAACAACTGAGAAGGCTAATAATCAATCTAGGTTTTACAGTTTAATCTACCCCACGGAACCATCCTGCTGTCCAGGACTCAAGCTGCAAGGGACCAGACCAAGAGACAGAACTGACAAAGGAATGAACGGGAGAAAAAAGATCTGGCATGGGCAATAAACCAGATTTACAGAAAAGAGGCAGAGAAAAGATAAATGTTTACCATAAATTTTAAAATATACTACAAACGGCAGAAATGACAGAGAGAAGGACTAGACTAGACGTTACTACAGAAAGCCGTGTGGACATGCTTGGTGAGCAGCCATGTGCTGCTTCTTGTAAGCCCAAGTTTTTAGAACTGCCTACCATGTCGAACCCAAATTACAAAAAGGTTATTAACTAAATTGAAGTATGCTGATGATGTAACATTTTCCTATAGTTAATAAAATAAAGCCAGATCAAAAGTTATCAATTTTATCAGTGAGTTACGAGTGAGATTGGTACTATCTTTTTCTTTTTTCTTTTTAGATGGAGTCTCACTGTGTCGTCCAGGCTGGTGTGCAGTGGCATGATCCTGACTCACTGCAAACTCCGCCTCCCGGGTTCCAGCAATTCTCCTGCCTCAGCCTACCAAGTAACTGGGACTATAGGCACGTGCCACCACACCTGGCTCATTTTTTTTATTTTTAGTGGAGACGGGTTTTCACCCTGTTAGCCAGGATGGTCTTGATCTTCTGACCTCGTGATCTGCCCGCCTTGGCCTCCCAAAGTGCTGGGATTACAGGCATGAGCCACTGTACCTGGCTATAAGATTTGTATTTTCAAATAGCAAAAAACAAATCAAATTGCAGTCTGTACACATACATGTAAGTTCATCAAAAGCACAAGGAAGAAACCAAAATGACCCCATGACAGATGACATGAAACGATGAATTCCCAATAGCACAGTTCAGGATAGTATTCTAAAGGACTGTTTTAAGATAATGTCACATTTGTTATCTGCACAACCTGGACTTATTCTTGGAAAACAATTCCGAAGACAAACATAAAACTTAAGAGAAAGCTGGAAAAATAACAGAATACCAATGCACAGACCAATCAGAGAGAGACAGGGACAAAAGAGAATTCCCAAAGAAACAGCAGGACTAAAGAATTTCCTGACTTGGAGAGGGGCAGCATCAATGGGAATTTGTGCTACAATCATGTGTCATCTAACAGCACCAGTATCTATAAAATTGATATTCAGCTTGTCCTCCAACAGCGCACCTACCTTAGTGTTATGGGCTGAACTGTGTTTCTTCCAAAATTCATATGTTAAGGTCCTAACCCCCAGGACTTCAGACTGCTATCTTATTTGAAGATGGCACCTTTACAGAGGCAATCAGGTTAAAACAAGGTCATTAGGGTGGGACATAATCCAAAATTACCGTTATCCTTATAAGAAGGAGAAACTTGGACACAGACCCACAGGAACTATGATGTAAAGAGGACAGAAGATGGCCATCTACAAGCCACAAGAGAGGCCTGGAACAGATCCTTCCCTCACAGCCTTCAGAGGGAACCAACCTTGCTGCCACCATGACCTTGAACTTCTAGCCTCCAGAACTGTGAGACAACACATTTTTGTTACTTAAGCCACTCAGTTAGTGGTATTTTGTTAGGGGACAGCCCTGGCAAACTAATCTATTTAGCCAGACTACATATGACCCAGTTAGGATTTTAATCAGTACGATAAGCCTAAATGTAGTTCTTTCGACACAAAATGGCAAAGAGTTACAGTTAAATGTAAGTGGTAATCAGCAGAACCATTATAAACATGTGTATGAATACATAAATATAGGCATAGCTGGGGCTCATGCCTATAATTCCATTGACTTAAAGGCTGACGTGGGAAGACTGCTTGAGTCGAGAAGTTCAAGACCAGCCTGGGCAACATAGCAAGACTCTGTCTCTACACGGATTTTTTAAATATAAAAGCTAGCCGTGCATGGTGGTGTGCACCTGTAGTCCTAGGTGTACTCAGGAGGCTAAGGCAGGAGGATGGTCTGAGCTCAGGAGATCAAGGCTGCAGTGAGCTATGATCATTATCACTGCACTGCAGCCTGGGTAACAGAGCAAGACATCATCTCTAAAACAAATAAATATAAGCACAGATGCAGGTGCTGGTGTAGACAAGGACATACGCATATGCGTATGTGTGTATTGTGCTCAAGGTCACAAAGCTAGCGAGTGCCAGGAGCAGGACTCTAACCTGGGCCTATGTGCCTCCAGGGCCCATGCCTTGCTATAATACCACCATGCTGCACCACCTAACAAAACTACATGGCAATGTAGAAAATACCTGTGATAATGGGACGATATGATTGATGCTGCGTAGAATTTAGGGTGCGTCCAGTCAAGTAGGGAAAAGACTATGTTAGCAAATTTATTAGAGTGGCAGAATAACAGTTTGTTGTTTGTTTTATTTTGGCTCTCGTTATACTGGAATTAAAATAAATTTGGTTACTCTAATACGGATGAAACCAAATGACGGTTTTCCTTGTCAGGTCACTCCTTCATCATATAAAAAGGGATGGGAAGCACCTCTGCGGGGTCTCCCTCCACATTCCACACAACCACCTCGAACTGCAGACCTAAACATGTAAGGCACAGTATCTTGTGGGTACAGAAAATAAGGTTCAGATTCTGGGCCTAGGGGAAGGATGCTAGTCAATCTACATCTGTTTATCAATTACTTACAAAGCACAAGAAACTATGCTGAGTACTTCAGGGAAATAAACTGGATGAAATAAGACTCGTCTTGCATTAAACTCTCACAGCAACTCTCACAGAGAGTTGGCAAGCGCCATGTAGTAGACCAGGCGCTGCTTGTAGAGAGAGGGGCCCTGCCTTGCCCTCCGAGAGCTTCCACTGAGCTCGGGGAGGAAAGCAGCAAGCAGTACAGGGACAAGCCGGGAATAAGCGCCTAAGTCACTTAAAGTCCTTCCAACATCTAAATGATCCTAGGATGATGTCACAGCGCTCGGGGTTCAAGTCGTTAGGAGTTCCTGAGGTTCCTGAAGGGCTCCAAGGTTATTCTAGGGCCTTCTCAACTTTGCCAGGCAAGACTTAAGCGGGTGAGAGTTAGAACAGAAATGGCCTCCAGCACAAGCAAGAGCTGCCCAACCTTACCATCACCCCTCACAGGGACACTAGCCCCCAGCACGAAACCATGTCGTCAGTTAACGGTTGTTGGTTGTTTATTATCACTGGCTGCCTAAAAGCAGCTGCTGAGGCTGTCTAGAAAGCTGTGACAGTAGGTTTGTAAGCAACATCAGCGGGAGAGCACACCTAACTTCTAACTAGCACCCACAGAGGCTTTGGAGCCACTCTCCTCCTGGTGGTCCAATGGCTGCACCTACTGCTATCCTTGTGGGTGCTCACATCACCACAGCTCCCTATGAAACTGAGGTTGACAGATTTTATCATCAGCTATAGAGAGGAGACTACTAAAAAATATCTCACTATAAAACTATCAAGGGCGGGCATGGTGACTCATGCCTATACTCCCAGCTCTTTGAGAGGCCAAGGCAGGAGGATGGCTTGAGTCCAGGAGTTCAACAGCCGGGAAACATAGAGAGACCCTGTCTCTACCAAAAGAAAAAGAAAAAGAAAAAGTGAGAGAGAGAAAGAAAGAGAGGGAGGGAGGGAGGGAGGGAGGGAGGAAGGAAGGAAGGAAGGAAGGAAGGCAGGCAGGCAGGCAGGCAGGCAGGCAGGCAGGCAGATGGGAGGGAGGAAGGGAAGGAGGTGGGAGGAAAGAAGGATCAGGGAGAGAGAGAAAGGGAGAGGGAGAGGGAAAAGAGAGAAGAAAAATACCAAACTTGAAAAAACAGTAGATGAGTGATGATCTGTGTTAGAGAAGGCATCTTGATTTAAGAATCCACTGAGCAAGCTTCCTCTGTTATGGTTCGCAAGTGTCTTCTCCAAGATTCAAGTAGAAACCTAATCCCCAATACAACAGTATTAAGATGTGGGGCCTTTAGGAAGTGATTTGGCTCTGACAAGGCTGAAGTCAGGATAGAGTGGAGGCAGAAAGGAGGAGACAGAGGCTGCAACCTGGGAGGTATGAGAAGCTGTGGAACTCACAGGAAGCTGCAAGCCAACAGTCTATTTTGCTTTTGGGGATCCTTCAATTATATATCCATATTCTCCTGACTGTTACTATCCTGGGTGAGAAAAGGCTAAGTATTTCAATGCCTTAGAAAAAAGTGACTTATTCAAAATAAAAACTCTTTTGAGTTTTCTTCTTTTCTATTTATCTTTTGAAAGACATCTAGAAATTTAAGGGGGTGGGGGGAATGTCTTTTCATTCCCCCCTCACACTCCTCCTCCTCTCTTTAGTGATGAATCTCTTAGTGAACGCATCTGAATGTCAAAAAGAAAAAGACATCTTCTCAGGAAAATATAAATATTTATAGACAGCATTACTCCATCACCCCTGAAATGTTAAACAGAGCTGTTTCTCCATTCTCTTCTTTATTGATTTACTTACATAGTACATAATCAGAAAGCAAAAAAAGGTAATGGTAGAACTCAAATCACCAGGTCACGCATCAAATATATGCAGACCAAAAAACATTCATTAAATCTTGTGACGTATCTCCAGAGAGCAGTAACACAAATAAAAATCAATGTCGGCCGGGTGCGGTGGCTCACACCTGTATTCCCAGCACTTTGGGAGGCCGAGGCGGGCGGATCATGATGTCAGGAGTTTCGAGACCAGTCTGGCCCAGATGGTGAAATCCCATCTATACCAAAAGTACAAAAATCAGCCAGGTGTGGTGGCACGCGCCTGTAATCCCAGCTACTTGGGAGGCAGAGGCAGGGGCAGGAGAATCGCCTGAACCCAGGAGGAGAAGGTTGCAGTGCGTTGAGAGCATGCCACTGCACTCCAGCCTGGGCTACAGAGGGAGACCCCATCTCAAACCAAATAAAAATCAATGTTAAACCCAGCCTTGGACCACTGGAGAATGGCTGCTCAAAGCCCTTCCTCTGTGATGAGATCCCCATGTCTGTGGCACTCCTTCTGCTCCTCTGAGATACGCACTCTTAGGGCTAAGCGCCACCAGTCTGACTGCAGGGCCAGTGGGAACAGAATGGGATGTATTTAAAAGCAAAAATCTTGAGGAGTCAAGTCCTCATTAAGCACCAAAAACGTTTGAGTGGCCCTTCTCAATTTTTTTGGCCAGACAACTTTTAAGGAAGGTGAGTACCTTAGAAGTCATCCAATCTAAAACCCAAGTCTGTTTTCTAGATCTGTCTTCTGATACCTAAAAGTCTGGCTTTACCTAAATTGCCTGTCCTCTTCCCAAGTCATAGCCTACCCAGTAATAAACAAAAACAATGATTAGTTGGTGCCATTTTCCAGTTTTTCCAATAGTTATAAAAAGGCTACTTGTGACAGGAGATGTGACTGTACAGTATTATTAATGATCACTCTGGCAGCTCTTGTTATATATGCTATACAACAGACAATAACCTCACCAAATAAACAAAAAAGATAATTTCCTGACTG